GTAAAAGTATCAGTAGTATAATACCCTCTGTGTTCCAGATACAGTGTGACACTGCTGGCTTGGTCAGCCTCCATCCTTAACCTGTGTCTGAGCTGTGTGGGGTTTCACAGGATCAGGAGCTCAGCAGTTAAGTCCTGTGCACACCCTGGAACACTAAACTCAGTGTCTGAAAAAATAAGTAACAAGTATCAAGGGGCAAGGAAATTAGATTAAACCCAACTCCTGGACAGCATAAACACACAGGAACTCGGATTGCAGAGACTATAAACACGCCTCTTCTTGTGAAATACTGCTCTTACTGAGAGGAGAGGCTCCAAATTTGCAAAACCCACCTTTGTTCAGAACTGAAGCAGAAAATGGAATGATCAAGACTGGAAACTATTTGCTTCTTTTTATTAACATTTTCTATCTGAGCTCTCAGACTAGAACCATTCAAAAGCCAAATGTATGTGTGTTGTCTTTTGGAACCAAAAAAATAATCAAGACATGAAAAGTTCGAGATGGTTAAGTGTTTTCTCCAGAGGCTGGGGATTAGCAGTCTGGGCAAGTAGCAGAGCAGGGAAATAAAAAAAAAAAAAGTAAAATAAAGGAAGAAACTCTTAAGTGACCTGACAAGGGAAACTTAAATCTTATTTTTAAGAGGTTAGGTTGTACTAAGGCTTGAAAAATTAAATCCACAGCTGTCTCTAGAGGACTATATCTCACTAAGAAAGCTTCAAGTAAGTTTATCATGTATCCAACACCTAGACATTGGACCTCAGGGACCACTAGGATAATATTTCCTCTGGATTAGCAAGAAAGCTAGCAAGTGACATTTGTATGAGACTAAGTTTAAGTTTAAGGGGTTTTCTTATTATGATAAATGAAGAATGAGCATACTGGGAAGGAAGGCTCTTACAGTTTGTAAATCTACTTCATCCCCACTATTTGTTTAAAAATGCACTGTTATCTCCTAAATTAGTTTCATTTGGTGACATCAGTAATTTGATGGTTTTATGTTTGTCATCCTCCCAGTGAGGATCAATGTGTTCTTTATGAGCAATATTTTTAATCTCATAATCCCCTTTATGAGAAATACTTTTAATTTCAGAGACCATGAGCACTGGCACTGGGACAATATATATGAAAAAAATTCAAGAATGAAACTATAGGAAACACAGGATGGATCTGGCACAATTATAGTGCTTTCCTTCTTCTGGGATTCTTCACTACTAGCCAATAAAGCCCAGGATATGTTGGAATGCTACTAATTAACTCACCTCTTGCCACGACAACTGATATGCCCCTGGGTTCCAGGGAAATCTTATGAACCATATGAGAAGCAGTACTTAGCCAGAGCTGGGTGAACTAAGGACAACTTTATTATGTTAACTTTGAAATCTGAAATCCAGTAGCAAATCGAGTTTTGTACAAAATAAACCTCAGACATCTACACAAACGCCAGCGTCAGAGTTTCACAAGGTAAAGCACTTTTTATTTATATATTCCACTCTTACTGGGTCTTTGTAAAATACACTGGTGTAGGAAGAGACCACAGGTCCCTCCAGTAAAATGCCTCTAATCTGTGGATGGGTTATAGTAATGTTGCTCTGCCCACAAAGCACAAAAGTGACTACGGTGTTTTCCAGTCCTGTGGAAAATCCTGAGTTCCATACCTGTGTGTCTGTACTGATGCACATGTAGGAGGTGTAATGAAGAAAAAGCATACACAGCAAAATTAAATGGGGAAAGTGAAAAAAGGGGAATTGCTTAAACAGCTTACAGATGGTAACTAAATTAGTTGAAAGCTGCAGGATTGTTTTTGCAACACGCAGCTCAACAGCACTGTAAAACTTCCATTATTGTAACCCAGAAGCTCCTGAAAACTAGTAATTACCAGAGCTGAACTCCTGGGCCCTCGTATTTTCCTACCCATGGGCCAGCTAGATCAGCCTCCAAGTCTTCCTTCCCCCAGTGCCTTCCAGACTCCTGGAAAGTACAGCTGGGAGGGTGAAGAAAGGTCCCCTTCCACCTCTCAGGTCTCCTGCCCCATACACCTGATTTTGAACAACATCCCCATCCCCTTCAGACACAGTCTCTTCCACATGCCCCATATGCTCTCCTGCCATTCCTTCACTGGGTTTCACAGCCAGCAATCCCTCTGCCTGTTCCTGCGCTGGGACACCAGGACAACACCTGGAACACACTGCTCCAGAGTCAGGCTGTCTGCAGGTCACTTCCAGTCTTGTCAGGGATAACTTGGAAAGCTCCTCAGGAAAAGGTATCTTGCCTGATAATCCACCCAGAACTGATGCCCTAGGTGGAGTAGGAGGTGGGGTGCAGGCAGCAAGGAAGCACAGCCTTAAAGTTTTGCTCACTGTGAGGGAAATCCACTGCCCCATGATGAGCCCTCACTCCCTGCATCCATCTTGTCATCTGTTCCCAGCTGATTGGCACACAAGTCACATTTTCTCTGTTATGCACATTTTTCCAGTTTCCACCCCAGACATGTTGCCTCAGATAGTTCTGGGAAGACCAAGCAGGGTGAAGGGGTAAGTGCACTAAATCAAACAGAAGTACAGCCTCTGCTTGGGTTCCCAATGAGTCTAAAACCGACTTATCATCCCCCCTTCCACAATGTAAATAAAGCAAATTAGCATTAGAACAGAACCTGTGAAAGAATTTACTGTACATTCATCCACATTCTCTTTCTTAAACTCCTGATGTAAAGACTGGTAATAATGGAGAAGCATCAACTCGTAAATCCTAAGGTTATTCCACGTGTTAAGTGCTATCCCACTAAAATTTTATGCTTGATTTCATCCAGCTTAAATGCCCCTCCTTGTTTTTCACTCTGCTACATTTCTTGTGTGCTTTGGTTAAAAGTAAGTGGAAACAAAGACACAAATGCTGCAGCCTGCAAGAGGAGCAGGACTTGCACTGATATGAAGAACAAGGCTAGCATTGTTCAGGATAGTTCAAAAATGTAACAAAAACTATTTTGGTCATAAAATGTTGTGCAAAATCTTCTTTTTTTTTTTTTTTTTTTTTTTTAAGGAAACAGCCAATGTCTGGAATATTTAGAATAAATTGTTGAAAAACAAAAATTTCCCTTTTTAATCTGTTTGAAATTACTAACTTGTTTTAAGTCATATGTCACCTCAGTGACACCACTTCAGCTGAAGTACTCATTTCTAACTCTCCCTCGGCTTTTTTTTGACAAAAACTGAAAAAAGGCAATTATTTTTGTGCAAAGCAGAAAGAATTTGATGATCACACGCAGAATCCTTTTCTTTTGAAGGGGAGAGATGAGGAAGGGGAGGAATTCCTGATTTATGATCAAATATAGACTTGTTCAAGTGTAAAGGAGACCCCTCCTTGAAAACACTTAAGCTGGTGCTTAACTTTATTACTGTGGCAAAATTAGGCATGTGCTTGAGTGGTTGCAGAGTCAGAACCATAAAATGTCATAGCCTTTATAGCTACAAGTCTGGTTTCTGCCTGCTGCATCTAATAAACATTAAGAGGTGAAATTCTGTCCCCACTGGGGTCAATGGTAAAACTCTGATTGCCTTCAGCAGAATCAGGATTTTGCACCAGAACTCTCCAGCATTGTCACTGAGGGTCACAAGATGGAATGAGCAGAGGGAGCCCATCTGCTCGCTCTTGTATGGACACTTTTATATTTAAGCTTTTCAGGTTGTTTTTGCCTGAAAATGAGCAGAAATGAAATATGCAAATTCTAGTGTATCATACATACTGAACATACACATGCAGAACATGCTGATGGCTGTATGTGGCACTTAAGTGGTGGACTTGGCAGTGTTAGGTTTACTGTTGGACTTGATGATCTTAAAGGTCTTTTCCAACCTAAATGATTCTGTGATTCTATGAAAATATACAACATGTTGTTCTGTGTTCCTCCCAGTAAAATTCCCTCTCATAGGTTTGATCCTTTAAGGGGAAAAACAGTAATTGTAGCACCATTAGGGTATATTTTATATTTTCCCATATTTCTTAGAGCAGCCTTGCTTAGGGACACGAGTAAACTGGTATTTTTCCTGTAAGTTGCAACCCTCAAGCCTCAAGTCAGGCACTGAAAGTCTGTGCAGATGGTTTGTTTGCCACATCCCCAGCTGCAGCTGAGTTTGGGGACTGTATTCCCGCCGTGCTCTCCACAGAGATTCTTGTTTTAATTTTTGTGTGAAGTCTCGTGTCCGAGGATAAAAAACACACCCGGGATTTCCCAGCGCGATCACGCGTCGGACTGAAAACGCTCTTCTCTTGGGCACATGTCCCTGTCACTGCTGATCAAAAAGGCATTCAAGAACCACCTTGGTCTGTGCCCCAAGATTAATTTCATCCAGAAGAGTTAAGTCAGGCTTTCCCTTTGCAAATCAGATTCTGCTCTGCCTCGTCTCAGTTCTTCCTTCCAGCATAAACTTTTAAGCCCAGGGTTTATTACCTCCACCCCTCAATCACTTACTGTGTGACAGCACATCGGAACAACATCATTTCCATCCCCCCTCCCTCGAGCAGCACAGTCTAATCAAGCAACATGTTTCCCTGAAAGTCATCCTTTCAGATTGCTGTACTTTATTTTAGCTAATAAAGGGCCTTAAGGAGTTTTATGCAGAGTTCATTTTACGAGGTTCAGAAAAGTATCCCACAATCACTGTTTTTTCCCTTCAAAACCACCCAATTCTTTTTTTTTCCTGAGAGCCAGGATGGAGAGATTACAAATCTCAGGGTTGCTTTGATTTCTTAATTCCACAAGACAGAGATTAGTCTATTACACTTTAACAATTCCATTTGCTACAGAAAACCAGTGTTGGCTATTTTGTTGGACTTTTGTTTTCACTGTGATCACAGTACAAGCAATCAGACCCAATGCATTTTCAACATGCAGTCTTGTTATACATCAAAGGCTCATTGAAGACAATGAAAACTTCAAAATCAGCATTAGCATCAGTACTTTTCAGTCATAAGAGAAGAAATGGGAAGAAATAAAACCAAGTTACCATGAGACAGTAATGGTGGGTGTTGTTTCGGTGTCATGGTGTTTTCTGTCCATCTGGTTAAGAACATCTGTCTGCACCTCAACCAAAAAAAAGAAAAAAAATCTCAATTTTTTGCATAAAAAGGTGCTTTGTCATTGACATTGAAAAGGGTCTTCACCTTTTTAATGAAAACAAAGAATAGAAATGTTGTTAGTATTTTCATCTACACTTACTCTACTGTATATTTAAATTGAGAATACTCCACAGTTGTCTTTCCTCTTGCTTTTACTCACTTGCTTCACTCCTCTCACCCAACTTTCTCTACTGTTCTCTTCCTATTCTGCTCTTCTCTGCAACTCCCATTCTTTTCCACCCTTCTTTATATTCATTCACTAAAATAAAATATTTTCTTTTACCTGACTCCAGAACAGTATTTCTTACAACTGCTCTAAGAAAAAAAAACCCACCCCTAAAACACCCAAACAAAACTAAAAAGGAGAGGCACAGAAATCCTGCACATTCCAGCTTCTCTTTGCAACTCAAATCACCTTCTGCCTCAAATACCACACTCTCTTTTTTTCTCCTCACACATACTTGTAACATGCAGGTGAGGGGATCTCCAGTGTCCCATCCCATAAACCTCATCACCCAACAAGGAAAGGGATGTAAGAAATTGTGCAAAGCAGCATCAACAGCTCAGGGCGAGGCTGCAGAACAAGACCTGAGGCAGCATTTGTCCTACAATTTAATTTTAAAAGAACCTACCATGCAATACATGGGTTTTGGTGTTTATGTCATGTGGTTTTCTAAACCCAGCATCAACGGGTTGTCACTGACCGACAGAATTATCTGCTCTTGGCAGTGCTGGTGGCTCAGTCCCTGAAGTGTTTCACTTGGACCCTGTCAGGCTGAGACAGGCTCTGCCGTCCTTCCAGGCCCTGACAAACAGCCAATTTTAGCCCAAAACATCGTAGCACACTTCACTGCAAGAAATGGTCGTTTTCTCATATTTTTCAGGTCTCACATTCTTTTGTATCCTTCTCATCTTGTCATTTTTGACCTGCGTTCCATAGGTGTCTAAAACTATTCTCCATTCACAGGCATATGTGAGCAGATAATTAAGATAAATTCTCAGTGAAATAAATGGAGGTTGTCAGGTACCTAGTACTCAGGAAATATCAGACTATTTATATAGCTTCAAAGTTTAATGTTTGGCTTATGCTTATCTGGAGAGCTGCTGAAACTACTGAAGAATTATCGCTCTGATCAGGTAGTTATATATATTTTTTTTTCCTTTATGACAGTCATTAATAGAAAATATTACTGTGATAAAAAGTAGAATAAGGACAGTAACAGAGGTGTTACATTCTAGCAATGTTTCATAAATGCACTGCTCTGAGGTAGCACTTAATATTTCACAGGGGACTATTTTTTTCCATTTTCTGTTCAAACAAAGGCAGGGCATGCTCTGGATACCGCAAAATATTTTATTCTGCTTGGTTACAGATTATGAAATATAAAGTTTTTAGTCTTCCAGAGGATCAGTAGATATTAAGTATTGATTCTTAATACTTTGCCACAATTCTTGGTTTTCTGTAATTTTATAAATTTTAATATTTCTACAATATTAATTTAATATTAAGTAATATAAATATGTATCACTGAAAGAAGACATACATACCAAGAAAACAACACAGAGACAATCAGGAAGGATCCCTCACAACAAAAACAACACACTGATTAATCGAAAGCCCATTTCGTAACTTGTAAATGCCAGTGATGCCTGTCAATTTCAAAATAATAAGCATTAAAAAAATAAATAAATAAGAAAACTGAATGAAGGAGGGCTGTTATGAAAGCGCCGTACAGGGCCAGGAGTTGGAGTGGACGATCCCTGTGGGGTCCCTTCCAATTCAGCATATTCTGGGATTCTGTGCAGCCTTTTACCAGCAGCAATAAACTCCAAATCCTGGAAAACTTAAAGTGCTCCAAGACCACATGCCCTCACCTAGCACGAAAACCGGCTCATAAACTGCATATAACTTAAGAACAAAACAGTGGCAACATCCTTGAGATTACATTTGTGAGGAGAAACGGCTCATCCGGGAGAGAGGTCACCGACCCCCCTGCCTCCGTGTAACCTGAGCTGGGCTCAGTTCCTACTCTCGGCCAAGTCTCTACCGGCTTGAACGACAGCTGATCATATTGATGCTCAGAAATTCAACGTCTCGAGTTTAGAAACGTAACTCTTGTGCATATTTTGGGGGAAAACAGCCCCTTCCGTTCAGCTCGCGTCGACCGCAAAGAACAGACAGAGCCCGTGAGCGGAGGGGGGGTGGCTGTGCCTCCCCCGCGCCTGCAGGGGGCGCTAACGTGGGAGGGAAGGAGGGGAGGGGGAGCGGCGCGCGTGCGCGCGGGGCCGGCGGCGCGTGCTCAGAGCGCGCGTGCGCGCGGGGCCGGGGCTGGGGCGGGGCTCGCGCTCTCCCTGGTAACGAGCACCGCGCGCGGGGCCGCGCCCTGCCCGGGCCACCCCCCCCCCCTTCCCCCCCCCACGGCCCCTCACGGCCCCCGCACCGCCGCCATGCAGGGCGAGGACGCCCGCTACCTCAAGAGGTAACCGCGGAGGGGGGGCGCGGTGTGCGGCCGGGGCGCGGCTGGTCGTGCTGGGGGTGGGGTGGGAAGGGGGTCGTGGGGCTCAGGTTGTGCTGGGAGGGGGCGGTGTGTGGTGCGGGTACGGGGTGTGAGGTGGTGGGGTGGGAGACGCAGGTGCTGCAGGGTGTTGCGAGGGGGTGGATGGGAGGCTGTGGCTGGGGGAGTACAAGGGAGGTGAGGGCGTGGGGCTGAAGGTGTTTTAGCCTGTGCTGGGGGGTGAGTGGGGCGTGGTGGGTTGGGGGGGGGGCAAGAAGGGGCTGTGGGGCTGGTGGCGTGTGGGGCTGAGGCTTTTTGGTGGGGGCTGAGTGAGGGGTTGGGCTGCGGGCGGGTGATGGGGTGTGTGGCAGAGGTGTTGCTGATGCTACTGGGGTCTGGCTTGGAGGATGGATGGGAGGTTATGGGTGAGGAGGTGAGTACGGAGTGTGTTTTGAGAGGGGAGGTCATGAGGTGAGTGGAGGGTACTGGGGGTGAAGAGTGGCTGGTTTGGAAACTGGCCGGAGGTTGTGGTGTGAGACATAAGGTGTTCGGTTTGGGAATGGGAGATAGATTTAGGCAGCCCCCCCTCAGCGTGCCCCAGTGTGGTGGGCAGGAGACTTGGATGAGGACTGGGAGGTTGGATTAGGGCTGAGTGAAGTTTATGAAATGAGTGTAGGAGGAGTGGTGAGACGGGTCCTGGTTCGGGGAAGGTGATAGTTTGAAGGGATGCTCTGGTTTGAGGAAGGCTGTGGTGGCATTTTACGCTGTACATTTGGGATGTACTGAGGTGGCAGCAAGTCGGGAGGAGAATAGATGCTATTAGGAGATGAGTGGGGAGGGTCTGTGGGTATTAAGGGTTGGGATGGGGCAGGTGGCTGATTTGGGGGTCAGGGGTGGGATAACAGGCAGCAAGGCCAGGTTCAGGGAGCAGCTGGGAGAGATTAACTGATTTGGAGATGTTAGAGCATGCTGTGGCAGATTGGGAGGGAGAGGTAATAGGATGGGATGAACAGAATAGTTTGGGAATTAGGATGGAACTGAGAGGTAGCTATGGCATATAAAGTGTGTGATCTGGGTTTGATGCTAAAGATGTGATGAATGAACGGTGCCTTTATCTGTCTGTTTGGCAGTGAGACCAGTCAGCCTAAATAACAGGGCCTGAGCTGGCAACTGTTAGATCTCTGTCAGTCATTTCAGAGCAGAAGTGAATAAATCCCAAAAGATGCCAGACCATGTAGGCCTCTGTTCAGACGTGGTGTGTGAACAGTGTCACTTCCTGTGATCATGCAGGTGATTTTCATCACATCTTGAATCCTGTGGAGTTCCTGGCCTTCTCTTTTTTTTTTTTACACTTCCTTTCCAGTTGTTAGTATTTGCAGAAGTTGCTGTTTAGACTGTCTAGGTTTTGCTTTTTTTCCCCCCTCATAAGGCACATATTAAGATACATAATTAGAAACAGTGTGGGGGGGAAAAAACCTCTTGATAATCTTTGAACATTAGTTCTGTCATTTGTTTGCCGTAATGAGGAAAATCAAATGTCCGCCTTTAATTAAGTAAATAGATGTAACTTTAGAGTAGTGCCTGCTTTTAGCCTTGCATGTTCAGTTTGTGCCATCTTTTGTGGTTTTGGAAGAACCTTTGTTTTGTAGTCATCCCTTCAACAAGTGTAGTTTTCTCTCTTTTCTGGGAGCACAAACCAGAAAATATCTGCTGTGACTGGGCTGGTGTGCAAGTCTGGTGCTCCTCTGATCCCTATTTCCCTTTGTCATCCTCCATGAGCACTCCCCCTCCCACCAAGTCTGACTTGCTGGGATTTGTTATTGGATTTTCAGCATTACCCACGTGTGCAATTTGTCCCACTTTTAATTAGAATAGTTTGGGCTTGCTTTTTCCCTCTGAAGGAATTAGTTAAAGGATATTGATACTTGGTCTTTGGTTCTGTGAGCTCAGCTAACCCAGCTTTTGTCTGTAGAAAAGGCCTTTCTCTTTTAAACCTTCAACAGAACTGGGTTCTTGTTGACAAAGCAAGCAGTGAAGTGAAAGGATGGGCTGATATGCATGAGAGCTCCCTGGTGCAGTGCTGCTTCTACCAGTTATAGTAATGTCTGCATTTTTAAATGTTTTATGAAGTGACTTACAGACTTAGGATGTGCAAAAAATCAGTAAGGTAAACGTTTGTTGAGTTGAGGGTGGAGGAGGGGTTGTTTCTATAAATAAGGATGTTTTTTGTGATGCTGACAGTCTGAATGGGGTGTTTTCCAAATGAAAAACAACTTCAGTGGCTGGGTAGTCTATTTAGTGTAGGTCCTCAAGCATTTCACAAGGTAAGATTTTTTTGGAGAGGGAACTTGAGCCTGTATTGATTTGTGACTTCGTTAGCTCAGAAATAGCTCGAGCAGCGAGGGTGTTTGTCAGTGTGAGAGGGCAGAAAATCTCTGCAGCTCTAAGTTCTTCAGCTTATCCATCTGTCCCTCTTAAGGAAAAAATTAAATATGGGAAATGCTAAAACCGTTTAAGCAGTCTTAGGCTAAGGCTCTGCTCCTTGCTAAGCTCATCAGTGGTTTACTGGTGCCAAAAAGAGAAGGTTTCACTCCTTCCTCTTTATCCCTTATCACAGATAAGAAATATTATTCCTTTTCTGTAAAGCACTGTCACACATTGAAAAATTCCTGCCCAAAACATGAAGAGTTTCCTGTTGGATTGCTGGAATTGTCTGAAACAAACCCTCATGCTGAACCCCAAGGTGACTCTCAGGAGCAGGGGAATCATGGGAAGATCTAATCCTTTTGGGAGTGATGAGCTGTTAGCTCAGCTTATTTCTTGTAAAACTCTACCAGGCTCCTTCAGGCCCACTTATTTTCTACCCATCCTTTCCTTTATATCTGTAAATATTGCTCAGCTGTCACTTACCAGAGGTTTGACTGTCAGGAGGAGTGGTTGCAGTTGTGATCTCCTGGTAGGTCTGAATATGTCAGAAGTGTATTTGGGAGTGTGGAGTGACAGCTGGATTCTTTTGAAATGAATTCTGCCATGCAAGTTTGGACCTCATGAAAACAGAGAACATGCTGTAATGAAGCATCTGCTTCAAGGTACTGTCAAAGGGAAAAAAAAAATCAGTTCTTCAAAATACTCAGGTGTTTTTCTTTAGCAGTGAGATGTATTTGTTTGCCCTGTAGCTTTATGCCCTTGCAGTTGAACTGGACATTTCCCACAGCAGACCTTTCTGTGGTTTGTGAGGGTTTGGGGCAGCTGTATCTCAAGACAAAGATATTTTTTGCAGTTGTCTTCTGCACAAGGGAAAGTGGCCTCCTTAGTAGCTGGGTAGATGGAGACAGACATTTCAAACATTTTCTGATGAGAGTGGTTACCCTGCAGGCTGCATCTGGATTTGCTAACATTTCCAGCTCTTTGAGGTTGAAGTAGTTTTCCCTGATCTAATTGACCCAATTCCACAGTTAGCTGCTGTCTCCTTTGTGCCATAGCCCGCTGCTATCCCATGGATGCTGATAAAACTGCGGGTGAAGCCACCTGTAATTCTGTTTATTGACAGGCTCTGTCTAAAAAACCCGAAAACCCAACAAAACCCCAAAGCAAACAAACACCCCCCCGCCCCCCAAACTCCAAAAACCAAACCTGCATTTTAGAGGTGTTTTTAATCTGCAGTGTTTTAGCAGCCTGGTTTATGGCCTGACTGAACAGACTGGATTGGCAATACCAAGTGGAAAAGGGACGAGTATCAGTGTTACCACCAAAGAAGAGATTTGTAACTGTATTCTCTGCATGTGGTTCTGCCACTGCTTGAATGCAGGAATGATGTGTATCTTTATGGCCTGTTGTCCATGCCCTGTCCCCAGGGCTCTTGTGTCTCTGTGTGGCTGGCATAAAGAGTTGCTGGCATAAAGGAGGAGAGAGCAGGACAGGCCCTTTTGGCACTGACATACCCATAGGTATCCTGGAGAATACTTTTTCAAGATGTCTGTAGCCACAGAAGGGCAGGTAGATGTGCTTGATTTATGCTGGTTGATGGCAGCTGTTGATCTTGTATTCAAGCCTGGCAAAGACACAAGGAGGTGAAGAACAGGAGCAAAGAGGTTTGTGCTTCAGGAGGGAACAGTTAATTTGAAATTTGAGTTGTTTGTAATTCAATCTTGGTAGATTTTAAACTGTTAAGAGTTAGCCAAGAGAGTGACAAAAAAAATCTGTTTTTAAATGACTGCACTAAATCAATGCCATTAGACAAAGATTTGTCAATACTGCCAAGGTAATGGGGAATCCACTGGGAAATTCACCTCCTCGATGAAATGCATTTTTTTTCCTCACTGTAGTTCCTTAAGAGAGCTGAGCAACGTGGAACAGGTTAAACCTTTGATTTCTTTTCTTAACTTCATTTCTGTGACTGAGGCTTGGCCAGTGACTTGGATGTGTCTGTATGCACTAGAGGCAGGATGCCCCTGGCACTAGGCTTTGGTACTGTGGTGTGGAAGGAAATACAGTGGAAGGAGAGCAGGGCTTGAGTTTAGTGTCTGAACAGAACAGGAGACAGGTCATTGTTACTGATTTCTGGTGTGTTTTCTGAGCTTTTCATTTAATCTAATCCTCTTTTTTTCTTTATGGCAGGAAGGTAAAAGGAGGCAACATAGATGTGCACCCATCTGAGAAAGCCCTCATTGTCCACTATGAAGTG